GCCTGAGTGGTGATGCCTGAGGTCCCGCCGGCTTTAGGTAATTCGTCTTTGCGCGGCCCGCTCTGACTCGCCTCGCCGCTTGCGCTCTCGCCTGCGGCTGCTGACTAAAAAGTTGCTGTCTCCCTTCCGGATCGTTTCTTCCTCTCCGGGCGAGGAAAGCGGCTGGATCTTCTGCGGGTTGCGCCTGGCTGCTGGCGGAGCGAGCGGCCCTAGCTCGCCCGGGCGCCGCCGCTCTGCACTCCGCCACAACGGAGAGCGGGCGCCTGGCGAAGGCCCCCTTTTCTTGGAAGCCCCTCCGTCGGGCCCTGGAGCGGCAACAGAGTGCAGCGAGGACCGGCCACCACCAGAGATCCGTGAGGTCGGCCCCTCGTCTCGGTGACCAGCTGGACTTGCCGTCGCTCAGACGTCCATTTCCCGTGCATATTCCGGTCTCGTGCGTGTTGTTTTTTGCTCGATGGTCCAGGATGGTCCTCAAGGGCCCTCGCCGAGAAAAACATACACACGTCCGAGCGATGCCAGGTGGACCCGGCAGAGGCAGCGTGATCACGGGATTGCGTCGTCTGCGTCTGGCGTCTGCCCGGCGAGCCACGGTGGCCCGGGAACCCTTTTCCGCCGACGGGTGCGCTGCACTGCCTGGTCTGGCCGCGATGCGTCTGGTGGGCTCTTGGGGCCAAGATGCGGAGCTAGCTGCGTGCGGATATGTTTGTTCCGAGCCCGATGGACTTACCCCCTGCCCCGCTCTGCTCTTGCGACCCTGAGATTCAAATTCACTGGGTCAATCGCCCTGTTGCTGGGCATTCAAGCGGGCTTGTCTTTTCGGGTGGCTCGGCCGTGCTCCCTGACTGTGAATTCAACTGTAGAGGAAGGTCGGGCCTGTTCTCCTACAGGCGGATTTTGGACGAAAAGTTAAATGCACAAAAAATAGCAAACATACTACAAAAAACAATCGAGACATCATCCCCCTACTATTTTCTTACTATTTTTATTATGTTTGAACACTCCTCTTGTTGAGGGACAGGCCCGACTTGACCGTTGAGCAGGATTGGACCTGGCCATGACCGACGAGCGGGGGCGTCTCCTGGCGTGCGCATGCGGAGCCGTGCCCGCTGACCTCGCCCTCTGTCTGCAAGCGAGGACGGCGAGCACGCAGCGGTTCACTTTGACTGCGCTTGCGTCTAAGAGCCAATGGAGTGCTATTACACCAGAGAAAATCCCAATCCGTGGATGGTTTTGAATCGTGGGATCGATAAGCAAAATCGATACGGAGATCGAACGGGAACCCAGGAACCCGAAACCCACCGAGATCGGCTCGGTACCAATAACCCAGACCCCGGGACCCCCGAACCAGGAACCCGGGAACCCAGCCGGCTACCAAAATCGGCGGGAAACTTTCGCCAAATCTTCCAATATCCGCTAGGACCCCTTCTGTGCAAGCACTGGGGAGCATTGACTGCCAAGGCACTATCGATTGTCGCCTCTCGCCCCAGGTCGCCCTTGACTCTCCGGACCCACGGGCGCAAATCTGGACCAGCGTGTCTCAAATGCCTGAATCGGGCCTGCCGGCCCATCAGATCAAGGGCCATGCGACCCAGAGTGGTGTGGATGGGGGGCGGACGTCGGCGTGGAACAGTAAGGTAAACGACCGTGCCGATCGATTCACCAGACGCGGCATTACGTGTCATCGCGACACGACAGGGGCTGCGGCGGACAACAACGGCTTGGCTCATCTCGCCCGTTCTTGTGCTCTCTGGGCATGGTCCCAGGAGGTCGAGCCCGCGCGAAAAGCTCTTCGCAACTGTGCTGGCCTGCGAGAGAGCGCGTTTCACGGGCGCTTGTCTCGGGAACATTCGGCGGCGCGTTTCGAACCGGGGGGTGGGCCCTCCCCCCCAGCACTCGGCGCCGTCGATCAGAACCAGGGGGACTCCCCTCCCCCCTAACCCCCCCCTCTCCCGAACTCCCTCCCCCCCCTTCGAAGGGGGGCAGAAATTCTACCCCCCCCCCCTCCCCCTGGCGCCGGCGCCGGCGCTGGCGGCCGCCGTAGCGCCAACGCAGCGACGATGACCAGAGAGAGCCCAGGAAGGGGGGGGAGGGGTTCAACCCCCCCCCCGCCTGCGCCGGCGCCGGCGCTGGCGGCGGCCAGCAGCGCCGACGGCGGGGACGCAGCGACGATGACCAGAGAGGGCCCAGAGGCCGCAGAGGGAACACACAGATCGCCATATCGAGCCCTCGCATGCTCCTCAGACGCCCCCGAGACCCTTCTGACAAGACCTCAACAAGCACCCATTAGAACTCTGACGCTTTGCCAACACACAGTGGCGGGAAGAGCCGAAGGCCGCACCACCACCACCACCATCGCCACCACAGACCACCATACCACCACCAGCACCACCGCCACCACCACAACCACCACCACCACCCACCAACAGGACAACCACCACCACCACCACGAACCACCTCACCACCTCCCACCTCACCACCACCACCAAAAACGCCCACACCGCCAGCACCACACAACCACCACAACGCACCACGACCACCACCACCACCACCACACAACCACCACGATTACCACCACCATCACCACCACCGCCACCAACACCACCACCACAAACCACCACACCACCAACCACCACCACCACCACCACCACCACCACCACCACCACCACCACCACCACCACCACCACCACCACCACCACCACACACCCACCACCACCCACCACCCACCACCCACCACCCACCACCCCACCACCACCACACCACCCACCACCCACCCACCACCACCACACCCACCACCCCCACCACCCACCACCAGCACCAGCACCACTACCAGCAGCACCACCACCACCACCACCACAGCCCACCACCATCACCACCACAAACCACCACGCCACCACCACCACCGCCCACGACCACCACCATCACCGCCTCAACCCACCACCACCGCCAAACCACCACAACAACCACCACCACCACAGCCACCACCACCACAACAGCTCACCACCACCACCACCAATACAACAACCCACCACCACTACCACCACCATCACCACAATCTACCACACCACCCACCACCACCGCCACAACCAAAACCACTACTACCAGCAGCACACCCCACCACCACCACCACCACAACCACCACAAACCACCTCATCACCACTACCACCGCCATTACCACCACCCCACCACCACCACCACCACCACCACCACCACCACCGCCGCCGCCGCCGCCGCCGCCGCCGCCGCCGCCGCCGCCAACCGCCGCCGACGCCAGCGTCGGCCCGAGGAGAGGGAGAGGAACTTGGGGGGGAGGGGGTCCATTTCTGACCTGCCTGAGCAGGTCGCCGACGGAAACCAGGCGCCCGTAAGCCCTCCGCTGCCGCGAAGGCCGCCCTCTCTGTTTCCCGTGACGAGTGCCCGGGGGTAATTAAGCTCCAGAGCTCGGACTCCGCGACCCAAGACGATCAGAATCCCGAGCTGTGGCTGCTGCTGCAGCTCCTCGGGCACGAGCTTCGGGCTGCGTCTGTGTTCGGCAGTAGCGGCGCCACTTTGTTGACGGGGCCCAGGCGTATGGTCTGTATCGCCGATGGCTCCGCCCAAGAAAATTGTAGACTATGCCCAAAGCCACGGGGGGCGAGCGAGGGTCCTGGTCGTGGGTCTGGTATACAAGATTCCCTCCCCGGGGCGCGGTTTTGTGTACTGAACGTGGCCCCGGAAGGTGGAATCTGACTGGGGCAGGGAGGGTGTGGCATACAACAGAATCTGGAGGAGCGGCGAGTAATTATGCCTAGGCCACCCATAAAAAAATAAACAAACGCATAAACATAAACAGTTGGCGCTCTGCGCGGATTCCTTGGACCCGCGCTGGACACCCCTCCACGGCGCGCGGAACGCTCCAGGGGCGGCGCCGGAGGCGCCGCTTGGGGGGGCCCAGCACGGATCCAAGAAATCCGGGCGGAGCGCCAAACGTTTATGTTTACTTGTTTTTCTTCTTCGAGCCCACCAAGCACACGATGCGCCGAATGACCTGAGCCAGGGGGGGGGATTTTCCGTCTTCGGAGGCCCCATACCCACCGGTCGGAAGAAGTAGGTGCAAACATGAAGTAGAAAGGCGTTGGAAATATATTGGGTCTCCGCCCGCCTCCTGAAGAGGAGGGAGGAGGGAAAACCACTCGACTCCTGAAGTAGGAAGGCGCTGAAAGTAGATTGGACTCTGGAAATCCAAACATACCCACTCTCAAGGCAATCCAGCGGTGGCTGGCGTCTCGGGCCACCTTCGGAGCCCACCGCCGCGGACCTGCTGTCTCCCCCTGCGGCCCCCCGCGGGCCCAGTGGAGCGCTGGCTGGGTCCTTCACGCCTGCCCGTCCAGCCCGCTCGCAGTCCGAGGCGGTCGCGCGAGGACTCGCCGAGACGATTCGGCACCTCGGCGGAGCAGCCCGATTTTTTCTTGTTTTCTCATGGAAATGTGGAAGCGGGCGGAGCCCGAGTCTCCTTCAGATAGCGATGGACTCGTCGGAGACACTGCTCGCCACATCCTGAGCGGCGCTTGTGTTTGTCTGTCGCGGCGCCGCTGATGTCGTCGCGCGCCTGACCCGATAGATAGATGTATACATAGATGAGGAGGGGGAGGAGGAGGAAGTCGCGCGCCTGACTCGACATATGGATACATAGATGAGGCGGGGGGAGGAGGAGGAGGAGGAGAAGGAGGAGGAGGAGGAGGAGGAGGAGGGAAGGAGCGCTGCTCGGCAGGAGAAGCAGGCGGAGGAGGAGGAGGGTGGAGGAGGAAGAGGTGGGAAGCGGGAAGGAGGGTGCCAGGCCTGCGAGCGGGCCGCGAGGAGAGAGAGAGGGGGAGATGACTCGGAGGTCTCTGCCCCGGCTGTCGCCCCGGCCTCCGCGCCTGCCGCGCGCTGATGCCCCCCAGGGTGCCCCACGCCAAGCGCTGCTCGAAGAGCCCCGGGGTCCCGCAGCCCCGCTGCGGGGCTTCGGGGGGCACTCCGACGCGATGCTGTCGGCCGCCTGTCGGCCCTCGTCCTGGAAGGGCCTCTTGCACGCTGGCGGTGGCCTTGCACCACTGGGGAAACGGTGAAGGAGGAGAGACCCGCCGAGGGTGCGGACGAGAAGAAGAGGGGGAGGAGGAAGAGGAGGCGGCAAGACCCGCTGAGGCAAACCACGCCAATCATGAGGAAGAGAAGGAGGAGGAGGAGGAGGAGGAGGAGGAGGAGGAGGAGGAGGAGGAGGAGGAGGAGGAGGAGGAGGAGGAGGGGGAGAAATCCATCTTTCTCCAGCTCCGCATCCTCATCCATTCCGCTTCCTCTACGAGACGGGGAGGAGGAGGAGGAGGAGGAGGAGGAGGAGGAGGAGGAGGAGGAGGAGATCCGTAGCCATTTTGGCTCAAGGCGTTTGGCCGAGGCACCGGGGATGGACCCGCCCCTCCCGCCCTGGCCGGGCAGCGCCCAGCGCGGCACCATGCGTCCGCGAGGCAGAGGTACAGGTCCCTGTGCTTCTTCACTCCGGGCCCGCTGTATCTGATTTACGATACTCTGATCATCAAGTACCCCTTGTACTTGATCATCCTTACCGAACTTTACAAGAACCCCCGGGACATCGTTAACCGCGGGTACACCTTCAAGGTTTGGTCAGGCCCTGGGGTGGCCTGTTACGACTCAGGTACGGCATCAAGATGAATCAGCTACGAGATTACCCGTTCCATCCGAGACTTCCCCGTTTTCCTCGAGACCACAGAGACCGCAATCTTGAGGCAGCTGCCAACCGTAGGTTGGCCTACGCGGCCCGCAAGGGCAACTCCACAGTGAAGGACCTGACGACCCTCATACGACACGGTTGGAGCACGAGTGGTGTGGCCGCCAGCAGCAAGTTCAAGTTCAACAAATACTGTGCTTGGTTCGTACCAGTCAGCTTTCCCGATTCTCGCTGTTACGACGACAGCGAGGATTACGGCACCATTCAGTACGACCTCGGGAATTCCAGCCTCGTGCTGCTGCCCCCGGTGCTGCCCACCATTGACTACCAGCAGCGCGACGACGGCCACCAGCATAGCTACGCGGACCACGAGCAGAGCAACGCGGATCACAAGCAGAGTTACGACGGTCACTAGCAGAGCTACGCCGGCCACCAGAAGAGCTACGCGGACCACAAGCTGGACAACGCGGACTACGAGCAGAGCTACGACGACCACCAGCAGAGCTATGCGGACCACGAGCAGAGCGGCGCCGGCCACCAGCAGAACTACGACGGCTGCAAGCAGAGCTGCGACGGCCACCAGGGGGAGCTCACGCGGTGGGGGGCCGCACAAACAGCCCCCAACTGCCTGGAGGCACGAGCAGAGCTACGCGCCTGAGAGCTAAAACTCGCAGGGCTACGAGGGCGCGAGGCAGAACTTCGCAATAGGCTACCGGCTGGGCCTGAAAGCGCTCGCTTCATATCTTTCCAAGCCATCGGTATGGAGTGACACAGGTACGCCGGGGCAGGCCAGGCCGTAGACGCCTATCAGTTGTACTCGCGCACATGCGAAGAAATCTTCCGTATGCTCCAACGCCTTCCAGATCCTCCGAACCTAAATCACCCCATGAAGACAGATCTGGATATTTTCGTGACAAAGATGAAGACGCTGAACTTAAATACTTCCTGTACACTTTCACCTTTGTCTACAAAATGTACGTTGCTGGCATCATAGGCACGGCAAGCCTCAAAGTTCTCTAAGGCTAACTTCCACGACCCACGACGTCAACCATGGCACTCCTCCCCCCCCCCCCGGGGCCACGGCGACGCTCCTCTCCCCCTCTCGACGACCTCCGACGCTATGACGACGAGCGGTCCCCTCCCCTCCCTTGTCGCCCATGGCTCACCTACCCCAATGGGGTACGATAGAGGAGGTCGTGGTCTACATGACCACGTGAGCCGTTGACACGTACCCTGGCGGCCCTTGGCGCCAGGCACGGCCCGCCCCCGCGGAGTGGCGCGCTCCGCGCGCGTGTGCGGTGGGGTCGGACGCGACTGAGTGCGCTTGCGGCGGCAGGAGGAAGAGGAGAAGGAGGAGGAGGAGGAAGAGGAGGAGGAGGAGGAGGACGAGAAGGAGGAGGAGGAGGAGGAGGAGGAGGAGGAGGAGGAGGAGCAGCAGGACGACGACTCATACATCGCTCCCGACCTCCCCTGGCGTGCGTCCCAAGCAGGGCGTCGGGGGCAAACCAGCGCCGCTGCGACGAGAAGCCTCCCGGCATGCCCCGCGAAAAGAGCGGCAAGACCCTAGCGTCGAAGGATCGACGACGACGACGACGACGGCGGCGGCGACGGCGCAGGCGCCAGCAACGACGACGACGACGACGACGACGACGACGACGACGACGACGACGACGACGGCGCAGGCGGCGGCGGCGAAGGCGGCGACGACGACGACGACGACGACGACGACGACGACGACGACGACGACGACGACGACGACGACGACGACGGCGCAGGCGGCGGCGGCGACGGCGGCGACGACGACGACGACGACGACGACGACGAGCTAGCCCTGCCACCCCTGCCACGCGTTCGTGACTTCGGAAAGCTGCCGACAGCGG